ATTCATGTCACTGTCACTGACCCTTCTACCGCCTCTCTACCTTGAGCATGAATGCGGGTCCCTGGACTCAGTTATCCTTCTTTTGCCCAGAAAAGAAGTGCCTTGATTTCCGAAAAAGGCAAACTTTCGAAGGTGGGTCTACGCCAGAGCTGTGACCTACTAGAGCTTGCCGAAGGCGTGGCGAGTCTGGAGACAGGACAGGGTCTTTTGCTACAGTCAGGCCAGAAGCCTGGCATCTTAAGTGTCATTCATTCATCGGTTGCAAGCAAGAGTAGGTAGACAGGGTGATAAAACAGAAGCAGCAGGTGCATTGTTATCGCAAGAAGCCTAAGAGAATGCTAATGCAGAATGTCAGGCTGGACTTTTGCTCCTTTGAAGGGACAAACCTCCACCGCAGGGGCACATATAAAAGCATGTCCGAAGGTAGGGACCGAAGTGCATGGGTGGAGAACGTTAGCTCCTGCTCTCCGAACCTTGCCAGTTGGAGGATTCAAGAGAGGGCAACAGGGGCCCAGGTTAGGTTTCAATTGCGGCAAGCCGGGACAGTTTCAGCAGGAATGTAGGAAAGGGAAGGTCGGAACCAGTGGCACATCTACTGAGCCCTGTCCCCGATGTGGCAAAAGGCTTCATTGGGCCAATTGGTTTAAGTTCAAACTTGAGAAAATTGGGAATCCCTTGTAGGCAAACGGGACGAGAGGCGCGGGGCCAGGGGCCCGGACAACTCCCCGGGTCCCCAATGACTCAACTTGTCTCAGCCAATCAAGCGGAGAGTTGGAGACCCCTCAGCATCAACAGCAGGAAGTGCTGGCCTGGGCCTTGTCGGTAGCACAGAATGAAGCCTGGAGGAGTCTGAGGGTACTTATCTAGCTCCCACTGGATTCTGTGGTCCCTGGCCGGGAGGACAAGATGGGTCTAGTGATTGGATGATCTGGTTTAACAATGAAAGGAGTTCGAGTGATGCCAGGGAATTTGATGCTACCTCCCGGTGCCCTATGAGGCTAGGAGACTATGTTACCTCACTAACTGGGTCAAAGGTCATTCTCTGACATAAACCACTATGGGGAGGAAGAAGGAAACAGTCACACAAGGGACCGAAAGGATTTGTAATTTTATCTTTATTTTTGTAAGTTGAATCACAGTTTAATGGTCACTAAGATTTAAGAAAAATAAAATAAAAAAGAGAGAAAAAACAACAAAAAAACCCCACACCGGGGTAAAACGTAACTATTTACAAGGACAAAGTTTTAACTTCCTCTGCTACTGCCCAGAGTCCTTCAGGGTGGAAAGGCACACATGAAATGTCCGAGTTGTTTCATCTCCCAAAGAGCACGGGAAAGTAACCACCCGAGTCATAGCCACTCCCATCTTCAATGGGAAACCATCGCGGCAACCTTGCGAGGGTTTTTCCTTTTTCCAAGCAGGTCTCAACCGGACGTTGCTGGGTTTCTTCTTGCATGCACAGTTTCTCATTCAACTGACTGAGGTCAAGGCCCCCAGGTGGCCTCCAAGGAGCCCCCAGCGAGTCAAGGCTGAATGTCTTCATAGATTTATGTCGACAGTGGAGTCTGGAGGAAGACAGGACTTGTCCCGGGTGAATTCTTGGTGGGCTGAGCTAGAGACGCTGCGCGGCACACAGTCTCAGCCCCAGGAAGCCACACCCCGGGCTTGGGTCTTGTTGGGTCAGCAACAGCCCTTTGCTGGCCTGGGCCTAGACTAGAATAAGACCGGTTTGGGCTTGTGTTTGGGGATTTTGCCCTTGGAGCTCAACCTGCGAACAGCCTCCCTGAGATGCTTGGGTTGCAGTGGGGGCGCTTCCCCCCACTTCTCGCACACGTCCAGGGCCTCTTCCACCACCTCTCCCACGAAGACCTTGGCCAGGCCGGCCATGGCGATGACCGCAGTCTGCGGCACCGAGGTGCTGGCCGCGCTCCGCATCAGCCGGTTCACGGCAGGCCCTGGGGAAGGCTGACCGGCGATACACTTCGTAGCGGTTCAGCTGCTCCTCGGAAAGCATCAGGAGTTTCATCTTCTGAGCGTCCGCCTCATCCACTTTCCATTTCCTCTCCTTCTTCCCCTTGGCGTCTCTTTTCTGTCTTTTGGCCGTGGGAGGAGATGACGAGGACTCCTTCCTTCCGACTGTCTTCAGGTCCGAGCTGTCCTGACTCCTGAGCCCATCTTCGTGTTCAGGAGTTTCCTTCAGTTCCTTAAACCGCTGCCCCGGGATTCTGTGGGGGTCGCTAGCCGCGGAGTCCACGGGGGCGACAGCAGGTTGCGGGCACACACCTGTGTTCCCACCTGTGCCCGCGCGCCAGGACCTGGCCTTATCCATGCCCGGGCTGGAAGACGCAGGGCCCGGTGCAGGGATGTCTGATCAAGGGACCTGCAACAGGAATGTCGAGAAGCTTTAGTGTCAGGTTGGCTATTAGTTTTTCTATCAATTTACAGCAAACGTTATAAGTAACATTTGCAACACATTTTATAATGAATTTTTCATTAATTTATCACCGACGTCCGCAAAACCCCCACTGACTTACTAGTTACAGTGTGTAGGTCAGAAATCCCAGTGGAGAACCAGCCTCGGAGTGCTCTCCTGTCGTCTGTCCGGGAAGTGTGGACTGGGTGGGGCTCCAGTCCCTTATAAAGACTCACGTGATGGGAAATCTCGCCCAGCTGGAAGATATCACGGGGTTTCCCCAGTCACAGGATTATTAATCTCATCAGGGGAGTGACTGCCCCAGCGCATGTGAGGGGCAGGCACAGGGCCCTCTGCCCAAGGATGGGCGGGAACCCTGCGTTCTCCTCCGGATTTGTGTATTACCGAGTTCCTGCAAGTTGACCTTACTGGTCACGACAGTACCACGGGAATCGTATGCAGTAGGAATAAGACGTGTATCTACAGTTGCATTTAAAGAAACTAAAATGAGGGAGTAAACCCAAACGAAACCCCACAAACCAAACAGACCGTTTGATTCCGTCGCAGTTCTTTCTTTCAGGTTCTCGGAGTGCACGCTGGACCAGGAGGCAAACTCGGAAACCCTTCATCTTCCCCCTCCTGTGTGCTCTCCATCATGTTCCGTGGTCATTTGACACACGCCTCTCCCTGCAGACAGAACGTGGAGTTCTGTAGCAGTCCTTTGGGAAAGCCTGTGCTTGGTGGAGGCCCAGTCCCTTACAGAGGACGCAGGCGACGGGAACACGCCCAGTGGGAAAATCTCACGCGGTTTCCCACTGTCACCCGATTCTTGATCTCGACTAAATCTCAAAGCCTGTGCTTTCCCAATAAATCAAATTCATGTCACTGTCACTGACCCTTCTACCGCCTCTCTACCTTGAGCATGAATGCGGGTCCCTGGACTCAGTTATCCTTCTTTTGCCCAGAAAAGAAGTGCCTTGATTTCCGAAAAAGGCAAACTTTCGAAGGTGGGTCTACGCCAGAGCTGTGACCTACTAGAGCTTGCCGAAGGCGTGGCGAGTCTGGAGACAGGACAGGGTCTTTTGCTACAGTCAGGCCAGAAGCCTGGCATCTTAAGTGTCATTCATTCATCGGTTGCAAGCAAGAGTAGGTAGACAGGGTGATAAAACAGAAGCAGCAGGTGCATTGTTATCGCAAGAAGCCTAAGAGAATGCTAATGCAGAATGTCAGGCTGGACTTTTGCTCCTTTGAAGGGACAAACCTCCACCGCAGGGGCACATATAAAAGCATGTCCGAAGGTAGGGACCGAAGTGCATGGGTGGAGAACGTTAGCTCCTGCTCTCCGAACCTTGCCAGTTGGAGGATTCAAGAGAGGGCAACAGGGGCCCAGGTTAGGTTTCAATTGCGGCAAGCCGGGACAGTTTCAGCAGGAATGTAGGAAAGGGAAGGTCGGAACCAGTGGCACATCTACTGAGCCCTGTCCCCGATGTGGCAAAAGGCTTCATTGGGCCAATTGGTTTAAGTTCAAACTTGAGAAAATTGGGAATCCCTTGTAGGCAAACGGGACGAGAGGCGCGGGGCCAGGGGCCCGGACAACTCCCCGGGTCCCCAATGACTCAACTTGTCTCAGCCAATCAAGCGGAGAGTTGGAGACCCCTCAGCATCAACAGCAGGAAGTGCTGGCCTGGGCCTTGTCGGTAGCACAGAATGAAGCCTGGAGGAGTCTGAGGGTACTTATCTAGCTCCCACTGGATTCTGTGGTCCCTGGCCGGGAGGACAAGATGGGTCTAGTGATTGGATGATCTGGTTTAACAATGAAAGGAGTTCGAGTGATGCCAGGGAATTTGATGCTACCTCCCGGTGCCCTATGAGGCTAGGAGACTATGTTACCTCACTAACTGGGTCAAAGGTCATTCTCTGACATAAACCACTATGGGGAGGAAGAAGGAAACAGTCACACAAGGGACCGAAAGGATTTGTAATTTTATCTTTATTTTTGTAAGTTGAAACACAGTTTAATGGTCACTAAGATTTAAGAAAAATAAAATAAAAAAGAGAGAAAAAACAACAAAAAAACCCCACACCGGGGTAAAACGTAACTATTTACAAGGACAAAGTTTTAACTTCCCCTGCTATGCCCAGAGTCCTTCAGGGTGGAAAGGCACACATGAAATGTCCGAGTTGTTTCATCTCCCAAAGAGCACGGGAAAGTAACCATCCGAGTCATAGCCACTCCCATCTTCAATGGGAAACCATCGCGGCAACCTTGCGAGGGTTTTTCCTTTTTCCAAGCAGGTCTCAACCGGACGTTGCTGGGTTTCTTCTTGCATGCACAGTTTCTCATTCAACTGACTGAGGTCAAGGCCCCCAGGTGGCCTCCAAGGAGCCCCCAGCGAGTCAAGGCTGAATGTCTTCATAGATTTATGTCGACAGTGGAGTCTGGAGGAAGACAGGACTTGTCCCGGGTGAATTCTTGGTGGGCTGAGCTAGAGACGCTGCGCGGCACACAGTCTCAGCCCCAGGAAGCCACACACCGGGCTTGGGTCTTGTTGGGTCAGCAACAGCCCTTTGCTGGCCTGGGCCTAGACTAGAATAAGACCGGTTTGGGCTTGTGTTTGGGGATTTTGCCCTTGGAGCTCAACCTGCGAACAGCCTCCCTGAGATGCTTGGGTTGCAGTGGGGGCGCTTCCCCCCACTTCTCGCACACGTCCAGGGCCTCTTCCACCACCTCTCCCACGAAGACCTTGGCCAGGCCGGCCATGGCGATGACCGCAGTCTGCGGCACCGAGGTGCTGGCCGCGCTCCGCATCAGCCGGTTCACGGCAGCCCTGGGGAAGGCTGACCGGCGATACACTTCGTAGCGGTTCAGCTGCTCCTCGGAAAGCATCAGGAGTTTCATCTTCTGAGCGTCCGCCTCATCCACTTTCCATTTCCTCTCCTTCTTCCCCTTGGCGTCTCTTTTCTGTCTTTTGGCCGTGGGAGGAGATGACGAGGACTCCTTCCTTCCGACTGTCTTCAGGTCCGAGCTGTCCTGACTCCTGAGCCCATCTTCGTGTTCAGGAGTTTCCTTCAGTTCCTTAAACCGCTGCCCCGGGATTCTGTGGGGGTCGCTAGCCGCGGAGTCCACGGGGGCGACAGCAGGTTGCGGGCACACACCCTGTGTTCCCACCTGTGCCCGCGCGCCAGGACCTGGCCTTATCCATGCCCGGGCTGGAAGACGCAGGGCCCGGTGCAGGGATGTCTGATCAAGGGACCTGCAACAGGAATGTCGAGAAGCTTTAGTGTCAGGTTGGCTATTAGTTTTTCTATCAATTTACAGCAAACGTTATAAGTAACATTTGCAACACATTTTATAATGAATTTTTCATTAATTTATCACCGACGTCCGCAAAACCCCCACTGACTTACTAGTTACAGTGTGCAGGTCAGAAATCCCAGTGGAGAACCAGCCTCGGAGTGCTCTCCTGTCGTCTGTCCGGGAAGTGTGGACTGGGTGGGGCTCCAGTCCCTTATAAAGACTCACGTGATGGGAAATCTCGCCCAGCTGGAAGATATCACGGGGTTTCCCCAGTCACAGGATTATTAATCTCATCAGGGGAGTGACTGCCCCAGCGCACTGTGAGGGGCAGGCACAGGGCCCTCTGCCCAAGGATGGGCGGGAACCCTGCGTTCTCCTCCGGATTTGTGTATTACCGAGTTCCTGCAAGTTGACCTTACTGGTCACGACAGTACCACGGGAATCGTATGCAGTAGGAATAAGACGTGTATCTACAGTTGCATTTAAAGAAACTAAAATGAGGGAGTAAACCCAAACGAAACCCCACAAACCAAACAGACCGTTTGATTCCGTCGCAGTTCTTTCTTTCAGGTTCTCGGAGTGCACGCTGGACCAGGAGGCAAACTCGGAAACCCTTCATCTTCCCCCTCCTGTGTGCTCTCCATCATGTTCCGTGGTCATTTGACACACTGCCTCTCCTTGCAGACAGAACGTGGAGTTCTGTAGCAGTCCTTTGGGAAAGCCTGTGCTTGGTGGAGGCCCAGTCCCTTACAGAGGACGCAGGCGACGGGAACACGCCCAGTGGGAAAATCTCACGCGGTTTCCCACTGTCACCCGATTCTTGATCTCGACTAAATCTCAAAGCCTGTGCTTTCCCAATAAATCAAATTCATGTCACTGTCACTGACCCTTCTACCGCCTCTCTACCTTGAGCATGAATGCGGGTCCCTGGACTCAGTTATCCTTCTTTTGCCCAGAAAAGAAGTGCCTTGATTTCCGAAAAAGGCAAACTTTCGAAGGTGGGTCTACGCCAGAGCTGTGACCTACTAGAGCTTGCCGAAGGCGTGGCGAGTCTGGAGACAGGACAGGGTCTTTTGCTACAGTCAGGCCAGAAGCCTGGCATCTTAAGTGTCATTCATTCATCGGTTGCAAGCAAGAGTAGGTAGACAGGGTGATAAAACAGAAGCAGCAGGTGCATTGTTATCGCAAGAAGCCTAAGAGAATGCTAATGCAGAATGTCAGGCTGGACTTTTGCTCCTTTGAAGGGACAAACCTCCACCGCAGGGGCACATATAAAAGCATGTCCGAAGGTAGGGACCGAAGCGCATGGGTGGAGAACGTTAGCTCCTGCTCTCCGAACCTTGCCAGTTGGAGGATTCAAGAGAGGGCAACAGGGGCCCAGGTTAGGTTTCAATTGCGGCAAGCCGGGACAGTTTCAGCAGGAATGTAGGAAAGGGAAGGTCGGAACCAGTGGCACATCTACTGAGCCCTGTCCCCGATGTGGCAAAAGGCTTCATTGGGCCAATTGGTTTAAGTTCAAACTTGAGAAAATTGGGAATCCCTTGTAGGCAAACGGGACGAGAGGCGCGGGGCCAGGGGCCCGGACAACTCCCCGGGTCCCCAATGACTCAACTTGTCTCAGCCAATCAAGCGGAGAGTTGGAGACCCCTCAGCATCAACAGCAGGAAGTGCTGGCCTGGGCCTTGTCGGTAGCACAGAATGAAGCCTGGAGGAGTCTGAGGGTACTTATCTAGCTCCCACTGGATTCTGTGGTCCCTGGCCGGGAGGACAAGATGGGTCTAGTGATTGGATGATCTGGTTTAACAATGAAAGGAGTTCGAGTGATGCCAGGGAATTTGATGCTACCTCCCGGTGCCCTATGAGGCTAGGAGACTATGTTACCTCACTAACTGGGTCAAAGGTCATTCTCTGACATAAACCACTATGGGGAGGAAGAAGGAAACAGTCACACAAGGGACCGAAAGGATTTGTAATTTTATCTTTATTTTTGTAAGTTGAAACACAGTTTAATGGTCACTAAGATTTAAGAAAAATAAAATAAAAAAGAGAGAAAAAACAACAAAAAAACCCCACACCGGGGTAAAACGTAACTATTTACAAGGACAAAGTTTTAACTTCCCCTGCTACGCCCAGAGTCCTTCAGGGTGGAAAGGCACACATGAAATGTCCGAGTTGTTTCATCTCCCAAAGAGCACGGGAAAGTAACCACCCCAGTCATAGCCACTCCCATCTTCAATGGGAAACCATCGCGGCAACCTTGCGAGGGTTTTTCCTTTTTCCAAGCAGGTCTCAACCGGACGTTGCTGGGTTTCTTCTTGCATGCACAGTTTCTCATTCAACTGACTGAGGTCAAGGCCCCCAGGTGGCCTCCAAGGAGCCCCCAGCGAGTCAAGGCTGAATGTCTTCATAGATTTATGTCGACAGTGGAGTCTGGAGGAAGACAGGACTTGTCCCGGGTGAATTCTTGGTGGGCTGAGCTAGAGACGCGGCGCGGCACACAGTCTCAGCCCCAGGAAGCCACACACCGGGCTTGGGTCTTGTTGGGTCAGCAACAGCCCTTTGCTGGCCTGGGCCTAGACTAGAATAAGACCGGTTTGGGCTTGTGTTTGGGGATTTTGCCCTTGGAGCTCAACCTGCGAACAGCCTCCCTGAGATGCTTGGGTTGCAGTGGGGGCGCTTCCCCCCACTTCTCGCACACGTCCAGGGCCTCTTCCACCACCTCTCCCACGAAGACCTTGGCCAGGCCGGCCATGGCGATGACCGCAGTCTGCGGCACCGAGGTGCTGGCCGCGCTCCGCATCAGCCGGTTCACGGCAGCCCTGGGGAAGGCTGACCGGCGATACACTTCGTAGCGGTTCAGCTGCTCCTCGGAAAGCATCAGGAGTTTCATCTTCTGAGCGTCCGCCTCATCCACTTTCCATTTCCTCTCCTTCTTCCCCTTGGCGTCTCTTTTCTGTCTTTTGGCCGTGGGAGGAGATGACGAGGACTCCTTCCTTCCGACTGTCTTCAGGTCCGAGCTGTCCTGACTCCTGAGCCCATCTTCGTGTTCAGGAGTTTCCTTCAGTTCCTTAAACCGCTGCCCCGGGATTCTGTGGGGGTCGCTAGCCGCGGAGTCCACGGGGGCGACAGCAGGTTGCGGGCACACACCCGTGTTCCCACCTGTGCCCGCGCGCCAGGACCTGGCCTTATCCATGCCCGGGCTGGAAGACGCAGGGCCCGGTGCAGGGATGTCTGATCAAGGGACCTGCAACAGGAATGTCGAGAAGCTTTAGTGTCAGGTTGGCTATTAGTTTTTCTATCAATTTACAGCAAACGTTATAAGTAACATTTGCAACACATTTTATAATGAATTTTTCATTAATTTATCACCGACGTCCGCAAAACCCCCACTGACTTACTAGTTACAGTGTGCAGGTCAGAAATCCCAGTGGAGAACCAGCCTCGGAGTGCTCTCCTGTCGTCTGTCCGGGAAGTGTGGACTGGGTGGGGCTCCAGTCCCTTATAAAGACTCACGTGATGGGAAATCTCGCCCAGCTGGAAGATATCACGGGGTTTCCCCAGTCACAGGATTATTAATCTCATCAGGGGAGTGACTGCCCCAGCGCACGTGAGGGGCAGGCACAGGGCCCTCTGCCCAAGGATGGGCGGGAACCCTGCGTTCTCCTCCGGATTTGTGTATTACCGAGTTCCTGCAAGTTGACCTTACTGGTCACGACAGTACCACGGGAATCGTATGCAGTAGGAATAAGACGTGTATCTACAGTTGCATTTAAAGAAACTAAAATGAGGGAGTAAACCCAAACGAAACCCCACAAACCAAACAGACCGTTTGATTCCGTCGCAGTTCTGTCTTTCAGGTTCTCGGAGTGCACGCTGGACCAGGAGGCAAACTCGGAAACCCTTCATCTTCCCCCTCCTGTGTGCTCTCCATCATGTTCCGTGGTCATTTGACACACGCCTCTCCTTGCAGACAGAACGTGGAGTTCTGTAGCAGTCCTTTGGGAAAGCCTGTGCTTGGTGGAGGCCCAGTCCCTTACAGAGGACGCAGGCGACGGGAACACGCCCAGTGGGAAAATCTCACGCGGTTTCCCACTGTCACCCGATTCTTGATCTCGACTAAATCTCAAAGCCTGTGCTTTCCCAATAAATCAAATTCATGTCACTGTCACTGACCCTTCTACCGCCTCTCTACCTTGAGCATGAATGCGGTGAGTCCCTGGACTCAGTTATCCTTCTTTTGCCCAGAAAAGAAGTGCCTTGATTTCCGAAAAAGGCAAACTTTCGAAGGTGGGTCTACGCCAGAGCTGTGACCTACTAGAGCTTGCCGAAGGCGTGGCGAGTCTGGAGACAGGACAGGGTCTTTTGCTACAGTCAGGCCAGAAGCCTGGCATCTTAAGTGTCATTCATTCATCGGTTGCAAGCAAGAGTAGGTAGACAGGGTGATAAAACAGAAGCAGCAGGTGCATTGTTATCGCAAGAAGCCTAAGAGAATGCTAATGCAGATGGTCAGGCTGGACTTTTGCTCCTTTGAAGGGACAAACCTCCACCGCAGGGGCACATATAAAAGCATGTCCGAAGGTAGGGACCGAAGTGCATGGGTGGAGAACGTTAGCTCCTGCTCTCCGAACCTTGCCAGTTGGAGGATTCAAGAGAGGGCAACAGGGGCCCAGGTTAGGTTTCAATTGCGGCAAGCCGGGACAGTTTCAGCAGGAATGTAGGAAAGGGAAGGTCGGAACCAGTGGCACATCTACTGAGCCCTGTCCCCGATGTGGCAAAAGGCTTCATTGGGCCAATTGGTTTAAGTTCAAACTTGAGAAAATTGGGAATCCCTTGTAGGCAAACGGGACGAGAGGCGCGGGGCCAGGGGCCCGGACAACTCCCCGGGTCCCCAATGACTCAACTTGTCTCAGCCAATCAAGCGGAGAGTTGGAGACCCCTCAGCATCAACAGCAGGAAGTGCTGGCCTGGGCCTTGTCGGTAGCACAGAATGAAGCCTGGAGGAGTCTGAGGGTACTTATCTAGCTCCCACTGGATTCTGTGGTCCCTGGCCGGGAGGACAAGATGAGTCTAGTGATTGGATGATCTGGTTTAACAATGAAAGGAGTTCGAGTGATGCCAGGGAATTTGATGCTACCTCCCGGTGCCCTATGAGGCTAGGAGACTATGTTACCTCACTAACTGGGTCAAAGGTCATTCTCTGACATAAACCACTATGGGGAGGAAGAAGGAAACAGTCACACAAGGGACCGAAAGGATTTGTAATTTTATCTTTATTTTTGTAAGTTGAAACACAGAGTAATGGTCACTAAGATTTAAGAAAAATAAAATAAAAAAGAGAGAAAAAACAACAAAAAAACCCCACACCGGGGTAAAACGTAACTATTTACAAGGACAAAGTTTTAACTTCCCCTGCTATGCCCAGAGTCCTTCAGGGTGGAAAGGCACACATGAAATGTCCGAGTTGTTTCATCTCCCAAAGAGCACGGGAAAGTAACCATCCGAGTCATAGCCACTCCCATCTTCAATGGGAAACCATCGCGGCAACCTTGCGAGGGTTTTTCCTTTTTCCAAGCAGGTCTCAACCGGACGTTGCTGGGTTTCTTCTTGCATGCACAGTTT